CCCAAGTATTTCAAAAAAATATTCAAGACAGAAGCAACAGTATATATGGGTGAAAAAGGAAGGTCTTTATCCATAACGTCATAACTACATTTTCCATAGTTCTCTTTGTTTATAATAGAATTCTAATATAAAAATTACGTCACAATTAATTTGGACAATGACTAGGAAAATTGAATTTTAAGTCACAGCGGGAAGGTATGGCTTATTACGATTTGATAGCATCCATGAACCAATGATGCAAACGATTTCCATTAAAATAAATATATATTTCAATAATAAGATAATATTGGATATCTCTGTGGAAGTAATATTACATATTATCTATGGAATGTACATTTACAACTTGTTGTTATAATTATTTTAAAGGACATTTTTTTTTTGTCAAAGTAGACATTCAATAAACGTTTAATGCCATCCGATTTATCATCTCTTTTTTCATCTGTTTGATGGGTCAATGTTTTGCAAACAAAGACAGTGCTATCTGTGGAGCAAGCGGTGTTTTCTGCGGTCGGCATGTGCCTATGTGTGTTCGTTCATATTTGTAATTATTGATATTTTTGTATTGGCCGGTGGCATATAAGAGTATAACGGTATATTGTTTGTGGGAGCACCCAAATAATATAATTCAAATAATTTAAAAATTAGATCTTTCAACCTAAAATGTCAATTAAATGTCAAAAAGTTTGAAACTGTATTCGAAGGACAATTTTTACAATACTTCCTCAACACCCTTACATACGAGAGGAAATAATAAAAAACATACACCGAATTATGTGGTCATTCCAATATTGTTGATAACTGTATGTATGTATATTTCTTTAAATATATTCATGTGGAAATATTTACTTTTATGGGCTCATTTTATATTATTATAATTTTGCCATTGGATTCTCATAAGCCGCAGAGATCTTGTTGCAATGTAGAACTGAACGACTATATAAATACATTTAGCATATCGAAGTGGCTCATTATTTGTTTTCGAAGCGACAACTTAAAAACGTTACAGTTTTGTTCTTGTGTGTGACATTTTCTCTTGCCGATATTTTGAATTGAAATATTTTGTGAAAAAATGTTTCCCAAAAAGAGCCTTATTTGTTTGGGATTAATTTTGGTGGTGACCATGTGTGTGCAATCACAAATTGTACGGAACTGTAACTATTTGTATTGGAATATCATAGTTTAATTGTAATCGAATTATTTCAGATGACCGGAGGCGTAAAGACTGTTACCAATTTACAAGAAGTTGAAAGGGAATTGAGAATGTCCCTGTCTAAACTGGAAGCTGGCGATGGTCCGCATTATAAGTAAGTAATTGTTTTCAACATCTAAACAATTATCAAAGCGATGAATTTGGTCGGGATTTTCGAATTTTTATTACTGCTTTGTCATGAAAAATGTCTAAATTTCGGTTGTATAACATGCAGTGAAAGTGGCTTTTGCATTTATGTGAAAATTGATAAGTGATAATTATTTCAAATTGAAACGCTTTAAGAATTCCGCTATAATTCTAAAAATTCCGAATATCAGGTGTTACAATTATCTGGGACGAAAACGTCGACCTCTGCAGTCATTTATATGCCAGAGAAGGTAGTCTCTATTAAGAATTTCAAACACCAAGTTTAAGACAATTCTATTGAAGAGCATAGCTAAAATCAACAAAATCTCGAATATGGGGAGGTAACGTTATAGGAAGACGTGACTAGGTATAGGCCATTACAAGTTCCAAATAAAACAATTTAGATAAAAAGTGTGACATAAATTATCAAAATACCAAATATCTGGGACTACAGACACATTTGAGTAAGATTTTATTAACCTACTTCATTTCGTTCGGAAGGAGGACAAACGGACCCACTTTGGGGGTTCTAAAATTTATTATTCAAAATATTGTACAACATTATAGTTTGGCATGTTTTTCAATTTTATTAAATGAAAGCAATAAATGTCGGAAATAGTATTAATTTTATAATAAGTTTAGATTTGTTCGAATTGGTCACCTTTGGCACACATTATGGCCATCAAACGTCCACCCTGCCCGAATGTTGCTCTGCCAAAATTTGGCCCATTCCCGAGGAAGCGCTTACTTGAGGTGATCGGCACTTTGGTATTTTTTAGTGCCAAACTTGCTTTCCAAAATACTCCAGATACAATGGTCCAACGGATTTGTATCCGGAGATACATAGTATGGAGGGCATATTAAGTTCGTCATTTGTCCGTCCGTACGTCTGTCCGTGTGTTGTAATCACGCTACAGTCAAAACGAATTAAGATAGCTAAAATTTCGCACAAATCTGTCTTTTGTTTGCAGGCAGCTCAAGTTCGAAGATGGGCTAGAAGAGAATTGTCTATATAGGCCCATGATATCGTATATCCGCCATATAACGGTACCCAACGATATACGGTATTTTGATAATTTTAGCCACATTTTTCAATGGAATTGTCTGAAATTCTACACAAGGAGTACTTTGCGAGTACTTTACCCCCTGAAAGAGAATTGTCAATATAGGTCCACAATATCGTGTACCCCCATATATCGACATCTTAGGATATTCTGTGTTTTTAAGATTTCCTAATTCGTCCCAAATGGTGGAGAGTATTCAAATTCGGCCCGGCCGAACTTACAGCTTTCTTACTTGTTTACTACCAACCTTGCTTTCCAAAATACTCCAGACACAATAGTCCAACGGATTGGAAGCCGGAGATTTTTGTGACCATTGTGCGCTGGAAATGAAGCGAGGAACCTCATTTTGTAACCATTCTTTGGTGGTGCGTGTTGAGTGCGATGGTGCTGAGGCCTGTTGGAATGTTCAAGGTCTGTGGTGAAAATGTTTGCGACCCAAGGCTTTACCCTTCAGGCTACACCCTTCAGAATATTTTCGCGATAATATTTGGCATTTTGTTCTGATGCCACGGTCTATTAATACGAGCGGAGAGCGACCATTAGCTGTTATGGCGGCCCACACCAACACCATGGGCGGTGCTTGAGTTCTGGTCGCCAACCGGAGGTGCACATTTTCAGCTGACCTCTTTGGCAAGTAAACACGATCATTTTGTTTGTTTACAAAATGCTGGACAACGAACGAATGTTTTCTCATCGGAGAAAACCAAATTCGGCGGTTCAACATTTTCGGCCAAGCGACGCAATTCTTTAGCTCTTTTGAGTCTATTTTCTTTCTGTTGCGGTTTAAGTTCTTCCACTTTTTGGAATTTCAATGACTTTACCCCGAGCTCATTTTTCAATATTTGCAGAATGGAATATTGCGATATGTTCAGCTCACGAACCATTTTTCGGCCACTACGACGCAGGATTCGATCAAGTCGCTTCTTTACTTTGTAGAAGATTTTTGCTTAAATTCACATGGAGATCGGCTTTAACCCCAACATGTGTTTTTAATATGTATGAAATCCTCGCGTTTAGGTAAGACGTTTGAAGAATTAAGAGACGTATGACAAATATATTGATAAAATATGTTCGACTTGCTACCATCCCGTTAAAGGAAGTATTTAACCATAATTTGAGAAAAGGAATCTTAATCCGCAACATTTCAAAGAAGCAAAAAAAAAAAAAAAATTAAGATCGCCTGGGTCGACCTTTTAATACCCTCCACCATTGGGTAAAGAAAGCATGTTTATATAAAAGTATCTGAATTCAAACGTGTTCCACTTTAAACTACAAATACCAGTAAACCCGTATGGATAATGCTGTTAAACGTTTCAAAACACCTTAAAGTGTGTAAGGGCCGTTATATGAAGGCCATACCAAAGCGGAAACCTCTATAGACAATTTTATTTTTCAAGGATTGCCATCTACCAAATCTTCTTAAATACCAAATTTGAACCAATTTCGTGGAAAATGTGACTAAGATTGTCAAAATACCGACTTACATATACAAGATTCCCCCACCGAAGCTAGATAATGACTTACAAATACTAATTTTTAGACAAATCCGTGAAAAAATGTGACTAACATCATCAAAGTACGGAATATCGGGAGGTACCGTTATATGGCGGCTATACCAAAACGTGGTCCGATATATCTCATCCTCAATACCAACGATCCTAGATACAACACAAATTGTTCTGCCAAATGTTTAAGCTCTACGACAAATAATGTGGGCCGTATCGTGATTTCAACAGACAAACAGACGGAAATCGGATTTTATGCTGATCATGAATATATATACTTTATGGGGTCTACGACGAATATTAAGGAATTTTACAATCGGAAAGACAAAGTTAATATACCCTCCTTTTCAAGATGGAGGGCAAAAAAATGTGGAAGAGGGGGGAGCTTACTCCTCTATTTTGGTTCACTTTCAGCTCAACTTTGATAACCTGTTGCGTTTTTTTTCTGTAATTATTTTTCGTGTTGCACAGTGTTTTTTACAATTAAATATTTTACAAATTATAAACATTATTTTTTCTTTATTTCAGGTTGCGCAAAGTTAACAAAGCCACTAGACAAGTTGTGGCTGGATCCTTGACGAAAATTGAGGCTGATTTGGAGGATTCAGCCGGTAAAGTCAAACCATGTAAAGTATCAATATGGTCTCGACCATGGTTGCCAAATGGAATTGAAGTCACCTTCGAATGTGATGGCGAACCCAAAGTAATAAGGAAACATAATGCCTGAGACGAAAAAACAAAGAAACTCGAATGAAATTAAAAACTGCAAGCTTTCAGTTCCTTATATAATAACATCAGTATATGCATTATTTAAACAATTATTATGTATTAAATAAAATTACAATTGCTCCTATTTCAATTATTTTCATTCATTTCTTTAAAAGCCTAATAATATAAAACAAATATAAATAAACTTAATATGATACATTCGGGTTTGGGATGTTCTCATTCCATGATGACACACACACACCAGCCATGACATCATCATCTTGTTTGTGTTGTTGTTGTTGTATACTATAAAATACACACGAAATTAAATCTACAAATAGTGAAAAAAATCCCCTACCAGAAAAGTTAGTAGCTGGCATTTAATTATTTGGCCACAACACAGCAATGACAGAAGTGTGTATTTATAATTTTACTAAGATTTTTGTTTTAAGAATTGTTTTAATTTTTGTTAAGGAAATACAACAAAGACGTCTAATAAGACCAGGTGGTCGTACGCCAATTACAGATCTCACTGATGTGGAAGTTACTTTGAATAAGTCATTGTTGAAATTGGCTGCTGGGGAAGGACCAACGTTTAAGTAAGTTAATTTTATTATTGAATTATTTTTCTCTTATATATGTTTTTATATTTTTTGCTTTAGGATAGCCAAAATTCACTCGGCTACAAAACAAATAGTCTGTGGTTCTCGTACTGAAATTAATGCTGATTTGACAAATGGTGTTGGTGAAACAAAAGAATACAGGGTTATTATATGGTCTCAACCATGGCTGCCTGATGGTATCCAAGTGACTTTTCAATGTGAGGGAGAGCCAGAAATTGTTCGAAAACATAGTCCATAGAACATTAATAAACAATGATCTGTGCATTTTATAAGAATAAGAATGCATATAAGCATAAATACACACTATAATAAAACATTATTTTTTATATAAAAATATATGAAAATTTCCACTAAACAGCGAATATTTGTAGTACCGGCTAAATCACAAATAGACCATTAGAATGATGCTGATAATAACCAAGATATGAAATATACAGGGTTAGATGAAAAAACTGCAACCAGCTTCAGACTGCTGTAATTTCTAAGTCACTCGTCCGACAGCTGTTAAAATTATTCAAGTGACAGCTTATTATATACTTTACAAGCGTACAAAAACATTTTGGTGATAATTTTCCAGAAAAAAGTTATTCGTGACGGAATTCAAGCGTGGAAGTGTGATATCTTCATATTTGGCTGGAAAACAACAAGTGCGTTAGAGCACTCCAGCATTTAAATGTAAATAAAACTTTTGTGTCTTGTACCATCGCTCGTTACCGTGATACTGGTAGCGTAGCCCGACGTCAAGGGAATGGACGGAGAAAAACAGCAAAATCAGCAGAAATGGTTCGATAAGTAGCAAGTAAAAAAGCAGCCGGGCCGAATTTTGAATACCCACCACCATTTGGAACGAATTTGGCAATTCTCAAAAAAAAAAAAAAAAAAAATCCGTTAAAAATTCTGTTAAAATAACATAACGTAACATTTGTCATAAGCCATTACAATATTCAAATGCGAAACTGAAAAAATCGGGGGGTACCGTTATATGGGGGCAATACGAAGACGTGGACCTGTACAGACAATTTTCTGTCCTATGCTGTAGTATCCATTACGAACTTCGAATATCAAATTTGAAATAATTCTGGTGAAAAATGTCCCTAAAATCATTAAAATACCGAATATCGGGAGGTACCGTTATATGGGGGCTAAACGAAGACGTGGACCTACACAGACAAATTTCTGTCATAGGCTGTAGTATCCATTACGAACTTCAAATACCAAATTTGGAAGAATTCTGGTGAAAAATGTCCATAAAATCATTAAAATACCGAATATCGCGAGGTACCGCTATATGGGGGTCTACAAAGACGTGAACCTGCACAGACAAATTTCTGTCTTAGGATGTAGTATCCATTATGGACTTCAAATACCAAATTTGAAAAAATTCCGGTGAATAAATTCGCTAAAATCATCAAAATACTGAATATCGGGAGGTATACGAAGACCTGGACCTGCCCAGACAATTTTCTTTTATAGGCTGTAGTATCCATTACGAACTTCAAATACCAAATTTGAAACAATTCCGCAGACATAACATACATTAGAGCAAAATTTTATCAATCTACTTCAATTCGTTCGGAAGCTAGAGTGATTTCCACAGACGGACAGACGGACGGACATCGCTAAATCGACATAGAGTTTTATGCTGATCAAGAATATATATACTTTGTGGGGTCTAAAATGTGTATTTCGAGGAGTTACAAATGGAATGACAAACTTAATATACCCTCCATACTATGGTGGAGGGTATAAAAAAGCGACTTGATCGAAAACCGCGTCGCAGTGGCCGAAAAATGGTTCGTGAGCTAAACATATTTCAATATTCCATTCGCAAATATTCAAAAATGAGCTCGGGGTAAAGCCATTGTAATTCCAAAAAGTGCAAGAACTTACACCGCTTGGCCCAAAGTGGTGAACTGCCGAATTTGGATTTCTCCGATGAGAAAACATTCGTTGTCCAGCAGTTTGTAAACAAACAAAATGATCGTGTTTACTTGCCAAAGAGGTCAGCTGAAACTGTACACATTCGTTTGGCCACCAGAACTCAAGCGCCGGCCATGGTGATGGTGTGGGCCGCCACAACGGCCGATGATCGGATTAAATGCCGAATATTATCGCGAAAATATTCTGGAAAGTGTATTAAAGCCTTGGGCACGCAAACATTTTAACCGCAGACCTTGGACATTCCAACAGGACTCAGCACCATCGCACTCAGCACGCGACACCCAAGAATGATTACAAAATGAGGTTCCTCGCTTTATTTCTGCGCACAATGGTCATCAAAATCCCCGGATACCAATCCTGAAAACAAGGCTGGCACTAAAAAATACCAAAGTGTTGATCACCTCAAGCAAACCCTTCGCCGGGAATGGCCCAAAATACTGCATAGCAACATTCGGACAGCGTGTGACGGTTTCATTGGCCGTTTAAAGGCCATAATTCGTGCCAAAGGTGACCAATTCGAACAAATCTAAACTTATTAAAAATTTGATGCTATTTTCGACATTTTTTGCTTTAATGCAATTTTTTTTTAGATGTAAAAATTATGGCGTTTGACTTTGTTGCAGTTTTTCTTATCTCACCCTGTATACCAAATTAGGTATACTATATATGTAAAATAAATAGGTCTTAGGTATTCTGCTTAAAAGTCGAGAACCACTGGACTGATTTTCACAATTCTCATTAATTCTCATTAAATCTAAGAAAACCGCGAACAATATGACAAAAAGTGAAAATTTTTTGTTAAATTTTGTAATATTTGTCATATTTTTATCGCATGCGATTTTTTTAATTTGCCTTACAATATTGAATTGTACATTTTCTAAAGTTTTCCCACACTCTGCAAAACTTTGTGTTGACGGTATTATATGCAGGTCGCAATTATCGTGCGATCCTCATGAAATTTTTAATGAGGGTATGGTTAGGGTCAGAATTAAGGCCTACTGTTTTTGAAGCTGTATCAAATTGACCAAAAAATTCAAATTTTCCTGATTTTGCAGTCGCTCTACAGGTCACAATTCAAAACCAATCGACACGGAATTTTGCACTAAGACCTTGAGGAAAACTATTTTAATCAAGGGATAAAATTGCTAGAAAAGCATGTATTGAAGTTTCAGGAGATTATATTGAAAAATAAATATATTCTTGAATTTCATTGATATGCTAAGAAGTTTCCGAACCGCCCTCGTATGGGGCTATAACAAATCGGGGGCCTATGTGTCACTATTTCAATAAAAAAGTCGACAGACCTAAAATAAATTTGAGTACATTTATATCCAACTACTTCCAAATGGATGGATGTGACTTAAGATCATTATTTTAGAAAAATGTGTAGTCTACAACTTCTAAAAATGCTGATCCCATATAACTTTTTATATACCTATGGTTTGGATTGATGCTTTATTCATAACGTTAAAGTCTTGCCCTTCACTAAAATGTTTAACAATCCTTCTTCTTCATCACATAACTGACTGCTCTTGCAAGAGGAACTAATTTTCAAAGTAGTTAACAACCGAGTTGCATTAAATCTATGATTGCAAGAATATTGCCTTAGTCTGGTCTCGAAATCAGCTTCTAGGTGGTGATACATGTCTTGCAAGCTTAATGAATTGCATCAAGTAGGTTTTAATGGTTGATCAATGTTTTGTCCAGCAGACATTGATTTGATTACAAATAATTATATTGTTTTATTATCAACCTTTATTTACTCACAGAATACGGATTTATACTTTGCCAAGCCATTCTTTTGTCCACTTTGTTTAAACTTCATTCTTTGTCCTCTTTGTTAAAAAAAATATTCCATAAGTTTGAGTAATGTAAACGAACTGCATATTATTGTAGATAAAGGAATGCATTTCGTAAGAAAATGTGAATTGGAGCCCAATAATTGGGCTGACATATTATATGGGAGATATTTAAAAGTTGAACTTTTTTTGACAGTTTTTTTGCCAACTTTGGCTTGAACATTTCATTTTGTAACTCTATTGAGAACAGCTTGCGGGGAAGGTTGCAAGCCCCGAGTACCTTTGATTACCAAATTAAAATATAGATGGGCTTAGAAATTGTGGCTAAGGCCTTCAAAATACCAAAATCATATTTTTCTTTTGGAATTTTCAGTTATATTTATATAGAAGCCCTATTTACAGAAGAATATAAATATAGGTCCACGTTTATTCCGGGGAGTTACAAACGGCATGGTAAAAATAATATACCCTCCATAGTATGGTGGTATCGAGAGTTTAAGTTTTAGATTTTTTTTGTTTGCCATATAAAATGGGAGATTTTTCAAATAGTTTCCAACATCGACATCCATAATGACTTGCTATAAAATGTACAACACACTTGTTTTTCGTTAAATTTGTAACAGCCGTGAACTAAACATCAGTCGTTTAAAGCTTTTCGACACGACAGTGTGTACGCTTCGGAAGATATTGACAATAAACAAAATATTCCACATCAACGCATAAAAATTCTATAAAAAGGTGATTCCATACATTTCGTGTATCGTTCAACGACCCAAAACAAAGTGACTGCACACACAATCATACACTGTGTGTGTACTCATTGTATACATATTTATATATTGAGTTTTGTTTGTAAACAAGTTTTGTTGTTGTTTTCCCTTTTAGATGACCAATGAGTTAGTACCTGTTCTTGAAGGAGATTTAATATTCGTACGAGTTCCATTTTAAATTTTAAATGCCTGTAATATCGGTTAGGAAGACTATATTTTCAATTTTCTTGAAAAAAGCGGGCGGTACACTTATATTGGGGGCTATACCAAAACGTGAACCAAATACCAAACAATTCCGCTAAAAAGACGGTTAAAATGATCTAAATACTGAATACTTGGAGGTACATTTATGAGGGATGTATAGGAAAGCGAGGACCTTAAGATCATTATCTGATAAAGTGGAAGATATCTATTTTGAACATTAAATATCATAAATCAAATCAAATATTTAAGTTAAAAAATGTGGTCAGAGTCATTAAGATACTGAACACCCAGGAAACCGCTATTGGGCAGTAGGAAAACAGGTGGAAAAACCCATTGCGAACTGTAAATTTTGAATTTTATAGAAATCCGTTGGAAAGGTTTATAAAATCGGCAACATACCGAATATCGGAAGTACAGTTATATAGGGTCACTAATTAGCAAAATATTTCGTCTAAAAGATGTAGAACACAAAACAAACTGTAAATTATAAAAATTTCTTTAAAATATGGCTGAAATAATCAAAATACTGAATACCTGGTGGAACCATGATATGGGAAGTATAGGAAAGCGTACATCGACATGCCCCATTTACGAACTTTGTCTATATACTGACAAAATACATTTGTATACAAAAAAGTATGTCTTCTATCACAGTTCGTTCGAAAGCTATCATTATTACAATAGACAGATCGTGATTACAACAGACATGGCTAAGTAGTCGGCTTACAACTTTACGCTGATCAAGAATATACAATTTTTGTAGGGTCTAACATAATTTTTTTTATTTCTAGATGGCCGATGATTCAGTACCTGTTCTTGGTGGCTCTAGGCCCGTATCCAATTTCGAAGAAATCGAGAAAACCTTAAACAATTCTTTGTCTAAATTGGCAGCTGGTGATGGTCCCAACTACAAGTAACTATTTTTGAAAAATTTAGTGTTATTTTAATATTTAAATCAACTATTATTTTTGTAGATTGGTGAAAATTTATTCGGGTGAAGTTCAAGTGGTTTCGGGCTTATCAACCCGAATCGAAGCAGATCTAATGGATGAAAACGGCACAACTAAGAGATTTAAAGTTTGCATTTGGTCCCAACCCTGGCTGAAAAATGGCGTACAAGTTACGTTTGAGTGTGACGGTGAACCGACGGTGGTCAAAAGTCATGATCCCTGAGAGGGAAATTTGAGATCATAAATATTTTATTATATTATTTCTTTTTTTAGGAAATGAAAGTCAAAATTCTTAATAACTTTGTAAAATTATTTTTTGTATATCCATGGCATATGAAATGTCATTGTGTAAATATTTTTTTTTTTTTTGAAAATTAAATTATTGTAAACATTTAGCGATAAAATCACGTAATCAATTTGCCGTGGTACAGATATATTAGGGCTAGATGAAAACGTATACCTGTATAATCCAGAGAAGGCGGTACCTATTGTGAACTCCAAATACCAATTTTGAGACACTTCCTTTGCAAATGTGACTAAAATCGACATAAAACGAAGGTACTATTATGTGGGGGATAAAATATATCGTTATGTCCTGGGGGGTGGCCTATACAAAAATGCGGTTTATAATTTTATATTAGAAAAGATAGTTTCTATTGTCACAACTTTGAATTAATTCCTTTGAACATTTTCGCTAACATCATCAAAATGCCGAATGAAGGATCCATGCGAAAACGTGGCAATTTTCTGCTAAAGAGTTGTTTCGCTTCGCCGAAAGTGGTGAACTGCCTAATTTGGTTTTCTCCGATGAGAAAACATTCGTTGTCCAGCAGTTTGTAAACAAAGAAAATGATCGTGTTTACTTGCCAAAGAGGTCAGCTGAAAATGTGCACCTTCGGTTGGCCACCAGAACCCAAGCGCCGGCCACGGTGATGATGTGGGCGTATTAATGGGCCGTGGCATCATAGTAAATGCCGAATATTATCGGGAAAATATTCTGGAGGGTGTATTAAAGCCTTGGGCACGCAAACATTTTGGCCGCAGACCTTTGAAATTCCAACAATACTCAGCACGCACCACCCATGAATGGTTACAACATGAGTATTCTCGCTTCATTTCCAGCGCAAAATCATTTCCAGCACAATTCATTTCCAGCACAAAATCTCCGGATACAATCCGTTGGACTAGTCTGGAGTGTTTTGGAAAGCAAGGTTGGCACAAAAAAAAAATAAAGTGTCGATTAGAATTCGAACCAATTTAAGTTTATTCTAAAATTTGATGCTATTTCCGAGATTTTAGCTTTCATTCAATAAAATTGAAATAAACAAGTAAGAAAACATAAAATTCGGCCGGACCAAATTTTTAATACCCTCCACTTTAGGATAAAGGAAACATTAGAAGAAATGTGGCAAAAACCACTTAAATGCCGAATCTCGGGAGGTACCGTTATATGGGGGCTATACCAAATCGTGGACCTACACATGCAATTTTTTGCTAAAGGAGCTGGAACCCATTATGACCTACAAATATCAATTTTCAGGAAAATCTGTGAAAAAATGTGGCAAAAATCATCAAATTACCGAACATCGGGACGTACCGCTGTATGGGGGCTATACCAAATCGTGGTCCTATACATGCAATGTTTTGCCACACGAACTGGGAAGCATTATAATCTACAAGTACCAATTTTGAGAGAAATTCTTAAAAAAATTTGTCGAAAATCATCAAAATACCGAATATTGGGAGGTACCGTTATATGGGGGCTATACTATTGACCTATGTAGGAAATCATCGAACTTGATCTAATATATATATATAAACATATATATATATATATATATATATATATATATATATATATATATATACATATATATATATATATATATATATATATATATATATATATATATATATATATATATATATATATATCTTCCGCAGAAATTTGGTACATATGCGTTTGATGTGTGACCTTAGTTTGTCTTGGCTTCTTTGGTCCTCTTTTATAATGTACTGATTTTTCCTGTAATTAGTTTTTGTATTGCATCGTATAAAATATTTTTGAGGAAAGCATTTAAAATTCAATTCTTTTGTACCCTCCACCATACTATGGAAGGTATATTCATTTTGCCATTCCGTTTGTAACTAATCGAAATAATGATCCAACAAAGTATATATATTCTTGATCAGCGTAAAATTCTAAGACGATTCAGCCATGTCCATCTGTTTGTCTGTCCGTCTATCTGCTGTAATCACGCTATCTTTCGAACGAAAAAAAAAATTTGCACACATATTTATTTTGCCAGTAGGCTGGTTAAGTTCGTAAATGGGCCATGCAGGTCCACGTCTTCGTATAGCCCCCATATAACGGTACCTCTCTATATTCTGTATTTTCATGATTTTAGCAACATTATTCACCGGAATTGTTTCAAATTTGGTATTAGAAGTTCGAAATGGATACTACAGTCTGTGACAGAAAATTGCCTATGCAGGTCCAGGTCTTAGTATAGGCCCCATATATCAGTACCTCCTATATTCGGTATTTTGACGATTTTAGGTACGGCTATATTCGATATTTTTTAAATGTTAATAGAATTTTTGGCGAATGTTATCTTTTTCGAAAATTTTCAAATTCGTTCTAAATGGTGGGTATTCAAAGTTCTGCCCGACCGAACTTACTGATTTTTTACTTGTTATTAGTTCAAAATTTTATTTAAAATACATAGCTAAATAACTGGCGAAATTTCAAAAATATCGTGCGGTACATTTCCACTTCTGCATTTTTACGGAAAATATTTAAAATATCCTATTATTAATTTTATTTTTTGTTGCTGGGTGTTCTAAATCAGTACTGCACACCCTCTCACCATGTGTTTGATAAAAAACAAGTCGTTTCCTATCTTTCCAATGGCGCAGTGAATGCATAACAACAACGAATGACATTATTGAAAATGAACGGTGGGGGAATATTAAATGTGTCACAACACCGATAAAATCTATTTTTAATATGAAATTTCATTTCGACGCTGTTGAGCAAGTCGGATGATCGATAGTTGAACTAAATATAAAACTTGTCACAAAGAGTGCAGTCAGATTTCTGATTGCAACAGTTTGTGGTGTTGCACACAACATTTTTATTCGAATTTCAAAATATTTCTATTATTTATAGATGAGGAGAACTTGTAGTTTTTTTAACATATTCTGCATCATTTTGATGAAGTGAGCGTATCTGTTCAATTTAAAAAAGTAATGTTTTTCTCGATATATTGAAAATCGAGTCCTGAAGTCCTGAAAATAACCATACAACAGGAAGATTGGGTGACATGTATGTAACCTTTCGCATTACTAGTAATGACTACCCTCTATTCTTTGCATTGCTAGTATCCAAAAAATAATTGCAACTAATGGTCTATGCATTACCAGTTGGCTACAAAATAAAGAGATAATGCTATAAAATTATTATGTCAATTGTACGCTGGAAATGAAGCGAGGAAAGAAACAACACTATCACGCTTCAATTCCATCAGGAATATCTTTTTTTCTGGAAAATTCTCACCAAAATGCTTTTGTACGCTTGTTAACGAGTCGGACGAGTGGCTTAGAAATGACCGCAGTCCGAAGTTGGTTGCAGTTTTTATACCCTCCACCATACTATGGAGGGTATATTAACTTTATCATTCCGTTTGTAACTCCTTGAAATACTCATGTCAGACCCAACAAAGTATATATATTCTTGATCAGCGTAAAATTCTAAGTCGATTTAGCCATGTCCGTCTGTCTGTTGTAATCACGATATCTTTCGAACGAATTGAGATAGAAGGCCAAAATTTTGCACACGTGTTTATTTTTCCAGTAGGCAGGTTAAGTTCGTAAATGGGCCATGTAGGTCCATGTTTTCATATAGCCCCCATATAAAGGTACCTCCAGATATTCGGTATTTTGATGATTTTAGCGACATTATTTACCGGAATAGTTTCAAATTTGGTGTTTGAAGTTCGTAATGGATTTTACAGCCTATAACAGAAAATTGCCTGTGCAGTCTTCGTATAGCCCTCATATAACGGTTCCTCCCGATATTCGGTATTTTAATGTTTTTAGCAACTTTATTCACTGGAATTGTTTCAAGACAGAAAATTTTCTGTGGATCTGCACAGACAATTGCTCGAGATTTAATGCTATTAAATCTAAAAAAAAAATTAATATTATGATGATTTTAGCGTCATATTCACCGGAGTAGTTTCAAATTATGTATTTAGAGTTCGTAATGGGAACTACAGTTTGTGACAGAAAATTATGTATGTAGGTCTTCATATAAGCCCCATATATCAGTACCTCCCTATATTCCGTATTTTGACTATTTTAGGTACAATACTCACCAAAATTGTTTGAGATGTCGTATTTGAAGTTCCTAATGGATGCTATAGCCTGTGACAGAAGATTCTCTATGCAGGTCCAGGTCTTCGTATAGCTCCGATATAACGGTACCTCCCAATATACGGTATTTTGATGATTTTAGCTACATTATTCACCGTTTATTTCAAGTTTCGAATTTGAATATGGTAATGGATTATGCAAACTAAGCCTATGTAGGTTCACGTCGTAGAGACCCCTATATTCGGTATTTTAAGTTTTTAACAACATTTTTAACGGATTTTATTTTTTTAAAATTTCCAAATTCGTTCCAAATGGTGGAGGGTATTCAAAGCTCGCCCGGACGAATTTACTATTTTTTAACTTGTTAAACTTGAAAAAACTTGACCTAAAAACCCGAAATTATTTTGGAGTTTTCATTTATATACACTATATACTATACCACTTTCTATTTTCCACAACCAGCATGGCTATTGAAAGGCGAAATTATAGGGAACATTTGCAGCGAATTTGATTCGGGTTTAAAATAAATTAAGATTGTTGATATTTTTATGATACATATTGAGAATGCGATTCTTTTTAGTTCAGAGACTTACTATTAAATTCGATACAGAATATTTTTTTCTTTGATTCTTGGGTTGTCCATATTCGACGGGCCCATCTGGCAACGCCATAAATTTTGACAGAGATGTCACATCGCTTAATGACATACCGCGTTTGAAGCGTCAGTCCAAGCTGATTTTTACCATGAACCAATACACGCCACGCGAGCGCTCTGAAATAGTCAATTGTGTCAATTGAAGTCAATTGTGAAAACTCAACGTGCTTTTAAAACATTAAAAAATGTGAGAAGTGCGCCTTCTAAGAACACCATTAAGCGTTTATACGAAAAATTTTCGACTGGTAAGGCTCTTTCTACTCCGAAGAGGCCATATAATAGTCGACCAAGGCGATCGGCCGAGAATATCGCTGCCATACGAGCCAGTGTTGAGAGGTCCCCCAGAACATCCCAAAAACGCCGTTCTCAGCAGTTGACATGGCTCGGTCCACTTTACAACGGATTATTCGCATTGATTTGCATTTGTTCCCTTACACAATTCAATTGACGCAAAGAATGTTGCCTGCGGACAAGCCTTGTCGATTGGAATGGGCCCAAAGAGTCATGGGTCCGTCGAATATGGGCAACCCTGTAGATTGGAAACGTATTGCATTTGCAATAAAAACAAATCATTTGTAGCTGAAGTATACATTTCGGATGTAATTTTCTTAAAAAAAATGTTATATCAATTTACATGTTTTATTCTGAGATTTTTAGTTTAATTTTTGTGGAATATGTGCTTTATATATTTTCGTTTGTTTATTTGACAACATTGATGCAAATAATTTTTTAATAGCGAAATTTGTTGAAGGATATTTTGGGTTTGACATCATCCTTCTAAAATGATGCGATGATGCGTAGGACATTTTTGCATAAACTCATACCGACTGCATATGCCCTGCAACACATGTTGTCCTAAGAGACCTTGGCTCTAAAACCGTTATTTCGATGAGCGGATTTTGGTCGCATCAAACGATATATACCCTCATGGCTGGGAGTATAGTAACTTCTAAACCAAAGTGTACAAAATGTAAGAGAACATTAATTTACAATGCATTTTTTATTGAAGAAAGCTTTAATAAAGTACCATTCTCTTCTATATGCCAGCCAATCTATGTTTGTCATAGCCTAAAAATATTATTTTTTCTGGAATACCATAGATATTGATTTTTTTCTTGCCACCAAGTAAATGAAACTACGCAAACTTGACTAATTGACGTATTAACTGCGAACAGTAATGTCATTGTATACAAATTTGAAAAGTGTAAATTATTTGGGCAAACAATCGAAGTGGCTATTCCGGTTATTGGACGACATTTGAGGGGGATCTTCTTGGTTTTGTCTCAGTTTTAATTCATCACTTGAGTAGTACACACATCTGAGAACTTTCCTAACAATGTCTAAAGTAACGATTTTCTATTTCGGAATACTTACGATTGCATCCGTTCAAGGACAATTTTTGGAAAATTGTGAATTGGTGGGTATAAATTTGAAATACGAATCTTCGACACAAGTAACGACAATTTTCATTTAATAGAGCGGTTATCGCATGGGCGGTAGAAGAGAATTACACCGTTTGGAATTAATAAGTGCCGAACACGAACTGCGTGCAGTTTTAATGAAATTATCCGAAAGAGATGATGGTCCATTTTACAGGTATGTAACTTCAATATTTTTCAATAGTTATGTTATTTTTTCGAAACAAAAAATGTATTTATTTGTTTAGAATTGGTGCAGTTTTTGCTGGCAGCGAACAATTAGTAGCGGGCTCGTTGAAAACATTAGTTGTCACATTGCTGGATTTAAGTAATTTCAAACATAACTGTGAAGTTGATCTTTGGACCAGGCCTTGGAAAACTGATGGCACTGAAATCACCATAAGATGTGAATGTATGCGAACTATTTTTAAACATGTTGATTACTAGAAGGTTATTTGAGAGCTAATTTTTATTAAGAAGACTGAACAATAAATACAATAAATATTTTGGAAAAATGATAATTTAATGGGTTACATGCTATGAGTCTATAAAATGAGATATGGGAAAATTATTCTCCCCACATATTGCAATGAAGATAGAATATATATATTGTACTAAAAAGGGTAAATATGTCAGTCGATTTTGTCGAATACTGTGTGCCCTCAGATAATGACTGTTACAATAATTGGTAAGTCCAAAATTACTGTTTTTATTTTACCCTCAGCCATATCAGCCATAGATATCATTTGAAACGGAAAAAATGTTTCTCATCGGAAAAAAAATGGTTTTAATTTTTAGGTCTCTTTGACCACAATCCGCTCCATGACATTTAGAGTTAATCTATGGATGTCCTTGTGTCTGTTTGGGCTCATGATAAAACTGGGTGGGAGCATTAGTTAGTTGAATCAGTCTTATGTTAAATAGCTGAACACGAGGCGCTTCGCTACCCTTTTTGCAAACGCCATAATTTTTACATTTTTTTTTTTAAATTTTATTGAATGAAAGCAAAAAATGTCCGAAATAGCATCAAATTTTAGAATAAGTTTAGATTTGTTCAAATTGGTCACCTTTTGCACGAATTATGCCCTTCAAACGGCGAATGAAACCGTCACACGCTACCCGAATGTTGCTGTGCGGTATTTTGGCTCATTCCCAGCGAAGCGCTCATTTTTCATTATTGGCCAAATGGAATATTGCGATATGTTCAGCTCACGAGCCATTTCTCGGCCACTGAATTCCATCACGAATAACCTTTTTTTCTGGAAAATTCTCACCAAAATGCTTTTGTACGTTTGTAACCAAAGTAATGAGCTGTTACTGGAATCATTTTAACAGCTGTTGGACGAGTGGCTTAGAAATGACAGCAGTCTGAAGTTGGTTGCAGTTTTTTCATCGCACCCTGTACAGTGACTTAATAAGATACCAACAGTGATCTTAATATAAAATTACTGAATTTCAGCCCTCTAATTTCTCCCATTATAAAATTTAGTACGCACATCCAAAACAGCTCCTTCTCTCAACTACAGACATCCATACCAAAATTTAGCACTCCTGCTCTATCCCTACACTCAATATTAAATTTAGTACTATTTTGTACTTTTCGTACAATTATAGCACACGTTTCCAAAACCATCTCCATATCTCAATCCCAGATACCAACAGAGACTTCAATATCAAATTTTAAAATTCCGGCTCTATACGTTCACCCAATAACAAATTTAGTAGTATTTAGTTAGTGCTTTTCGTACAAACACATGAGTAGCGACGCTAATTTCAAATTTCAGATTTCAAGCAATATCTGTTCACCCAATACTAAAATGTATCATACATAGCGATATTTCGTACTTTTAGTGCCCATGTAGCACACATTTTCTTGATCACAAACCGCCAGGGGCGCCAAATCCAAATTCCAGCTTCATCCATCTAAAGACGGGATATTTTGGTTCAATATTTATCGTGCGTCCTCCATAAAAGTTATATAAGCATATAATAATTTTGCCGTACCAAATTATAATTGCAGCCATTAGGTTGAGGGTATAATTGGTTTCCTAAAAAAATGTTTATGGAGAATATATTAACTTTGTCATTCCGTTTGTAATTCCTCGAAATACTCATGTTAGACCCTACAAAGTATATTAATTCCGGATCAAGGTACAATTCAAAGTCGACTTATCGATGTCCGTCTGTCTATTGAAATCACCTTATTTCTGGAACGAATTGAGATAGATTTATGAAAAATTGTCTATGCAGGTCCACATCTTCGTATAGCCGACACACAAACGATACCTCCCTTTATTGGGCATTTTGAAGATATTAGCGGCATTATTAACCGGAATTGTTTAAAATTTCGTATTTGAAGTTCGGAATCGTTACTGCAGCCTATGACAAAAAATTGCTCATGCAGATTCACGTCTTCGTATCCCACATATAACATTTTTCATTTAAGCAGTACTTTTCGACGAAAGTTTTGAAGTTCCTTCCAAACGGTGGAGAGTATTAAAAGTTCAGCCCGGCCAAACTTAGCAGTTTTTGACTCCAACTCCTAGATACCGTAGCCGTTTCCGCAGCCTTGGTTAAACCCTTAAAAAATTAGAATGTGGGTACTTGATACAAAAATGTTGAACAACCCTATTGCTTGCTTGTAACGTAGCTGAATGGATGTATTCATAATGTGGCTTAACAGTAATGTAATGCAACAATATGCAATATGTTTGCATGTAATTACAATGTTTTCGATATTTAACATAATTAACATTACAATAAATTAATTCACACATAACACGGTGTGAAATGACGAAATAATATCTGCTGCCATATATCATTTTTCATGTTTGTTCCGTACATAGAATAATGAACAGTGCGGAGAGCATGAGTGACGTGATCATAAATCATTGAAGTTCGTGTTATTGAAAACACTCATAACCATCAAATAATGGGTTTCCTAATAGGTTTTTGAAATCATAACTACCTACAATATTTATACCCTACAACACTATGTGATGGGGTATTATAAGTTTGATTGGGCCAACAATTATGTAACACCTCGAAATATTGGTTTCCCACATAGGAAAGTTTATATCGATCTTCCTATCTCGCCGAGCTGAGTCGATCTAGCCATGTATGTCCGTCCATGTCCATGATAATCTGTAATCACGCTACAGGTCACAATTATGGGCCGATCCTCACGAAATTGAAAATGGAGGTGGGGTTATGGTCAGAATAGAAGCCTATTGCTTTTGGAGATGATCGCAAAATATTTAGGGATTGAAATGGACCAAAAACTGAAAAATTTCCTTAATTTGCAGTTGTTCTACAGGTCGCAACTATAGACCAATTGACGCGAAAGTTAGCAATGGACTAGAGCTTAGGGCTGGACAGAAGCCTTCCGATTTGTATGGTCATCGGGTAATATTAAGTGGGTGAAAATAGTCCATAATATTTGTAGTAAAATCGACGAAAAGGTTTATTTTGACCGTTACATATATAGCGAGATACAGGGTGAGAAGAAAAAACTGCAACTAACTTCAGGCAGCTGTCATTTCTAAGCCACTCGTCCGACAGCTGTTAAAATTATTCCAGCTCACTGTATTGTTTACAAGTGTACAAAAGCAATTTGGTGGTGAGAATTTTAAAGAACAGAAAGAAAATAGACTCAAAAGAGTTAAAGAGTTGCTTCGCTTGACCGAAAGTGGTGAACTGCCGAATTGTTTTTTTTTTCGAAATTCGTTGTCCAGCAGTTTATAAAGGAACAAAATGTGCACCTTCTGTTGGCCACCAGAATTCAAGCGCCGAACATGGTAAGTGTGTGGGCTGCCATAACAGCCGATGGTCGCTCTCCGGTCATATTCGTATTAATCGACCGTGGCATCAGAATAAATGCCGAATATTATTGCGAAAATATTCTGGAGGGTGTATTAAAACCTTGGGCACAGAAACATTTTGGCCGCAGACCTTGGAGGTTCCTCGCTTTATATCCAGCGCGCAATGGCCATCAAAATCTCCGGATACCAATCATTTGGACTATTGTGTCTGGAGTATTTTGGAAAGCAAGGTTGGCACTAAAAATACCAATATGTCGATCACCTCAAGCAAGCGCTTCGCCAAGAATGGGCCAAAATGCCGCAAAGCAACATTCGGGCAGCGTGTGACGGTTTCATTGTCAAAGGTGACCAATTCAAACAAATCTAATTTATTCTGATGCTATTTCCAACATTTTTTTGCTTTCATTCTAAACAAATTAATTTAATGATTAAATTTAAATTAATTTCACAAGTTTCAAAAAATGCTCAATGCAATATTTGTACTTACATCAGATCTAATGCAAAGATGGAATATGTACAGGTGGTCGGATTTTGAAAGTATAGAACTTGTTAGCCCGTTCTTTTTAAGAGGAAAGTGTTTGGGTTAAAAGAATATTCGGAATAGATTTTGAAGTCCACGAGGTTCTTGTTTTGCAAAAAGAAAAAAATATTAATTAAATAATCTTCCCCGTTCAATATATTCTTCTCTCTATTTTGGTACATATAACCTCCGTAAATATCTCATATTTACATATAAATCATTCAATACCTCCTCGCTAGAACAATTAAATCCACACGACCCATGATCCCACTGTACAGATTTAACTTATTCAAATCACTATGAATGGGTAGCGGTGCATTGCAAACATCAACAACAACATCTACAACATTTCCCTTCCGGCCAATAGAAAAGTGGAAAATAAAAAAAAAACATTATTTGATATTCTGTGTATTACGTTGTTGTTTCGATTTAGAACAATTCATATTTCACTTGCATAAATTTGTGTGGTTTGTTTAAACAATAAATGTGAAAAATCTAATTTTTGTTATTTTTTCTCATATCCGTTGAATGTTTGTCATATTTAGAATCAGTTTTGAAACTATTCTAGCTGTGTTAACACATTGTGATGATGGACAGAAAATTGAAAATAAAATAAATTGTATAAAAATATGTTAACAAAGATAAGCCGTTTGTTTTTGATTGTTACACTAGTTGGCACTACAATGACGAGTGTTGTAAGTGATTCGAAATAAGAGGAGTTGAATGGAAAAAATAGATATATCAGAAAAATGTGTTTCTTTTAATTAATTCTAGAGATCTTTGTGTATCTATACCGTACCGCCATCGTGTTTAACCGATGTAAGTAAAATTTAAAATTACGGTGATTTAACTAACTAACCAAAACATAATATTAGTTTATAAATTTATGGAAACACTTGCCCAATTAAACCTTAAGCCCATATTTGGATTTTGAGACATTCCGCATTTGAGCCGTTCTTCGGCAAGGCCATTGGAAGCATGGAAATATTTGTTTTTTTTTTGTAATGAATCATTTTTATCTTATTGGACTTCGTATTGAAACCATTGGTTTGTAAATGTATACATTTCCCGATAGGAACCATAAATATTGAACCTATATATCCAATATTTGCACTAGATCAAATACTTGTATAGAAACAAGTAAAAAAAGCAACGAGTTCGGTCGGGTCGAACTTTAAATACCCTCCACTATTTAGAAAGAATATGGAAAAAAGGAAACAAAGGCTATATTGGTGCGGGGCCAACCATGTGATACCCAACAACACTATAATGTATTGGAGAACCTGCATAGGTCTAAACACATTTTAGTCGATTATTTGAAATAATGCCATACTGTCCTGCACAAATGTTACCTTTGGTTTTTACCCGGGGATATTTTCATTATATTTATACTCTATGTCGTGTTAGGTACAGGGTTGCCCATATTCGACGGACCCATTTTTTTCGGCCATTTCGATGACTCTTTGGGCCCATTCCAATCGACGAGGCTTGTCCGCAGGCAACATTTTTTGCTTCAATTGAATTTTGTACGGGAACAAATGCAAATCAATGCGAATAATCCGTTGTTAAGTGGACCGAGCCATGCCCAACTGCTGAGAACGGCGTTTTTGGGATGTTCTTGGGGACCTCTCAACACTGGCTCAAACGGCAGCGATATTCTCGGCCGATCGCCTTGGTCGACTTTTATATGGCCTCTTCGGATTAGAAAGAGCCTTACCAGTCGAAAATGGTGTTCTTAGAAGGCGCACTTCTCACATTTTTTAATGTTTTAAAAGCACGTTGAGTTTTCACAATTGACTTCATCTGTTGAATGTAAATTTCAACTATTTCAGAGCGCTCGCGTGGCGTGCATTGGTTCATGGTAAAAATCTGCTTGGACTGACGCGTCAAACGCGGTATGTCATTAAGCGATGTGACATCTCTGTCAAAAGTTATGGCGTTGCCAGATGGGTCCGTCGCCGGCTTAATATTGTCCGATGACCAAACAAAATAGCATGCTTCTAACTCCAAGCTCTCTAACTCCATGCAAAATACCGCGTCGATTGGTTTATAATTTGCGACCTGTAGAGCAACTGCAAAATTAGAAAATGTTTCTGTTTTTGGTCATTTTCAACATAGCCCCAGCTCCATTTTCAATTTCGTGAGGATCGGACCATAATTGCGACTTGTAGAGTGATTACAAATTAACAAGGACAGACGGATGGACGGAGGAACATACATAGCTAGATCGACTTAGATAGGCGAGATAGGAAGATCCATATATAGTTTCCTACGTCGGGGACCAATATTTCGAGAATCAAACTTATAATATCACTAACACATTGTGCTGTAGCGTATAAAAACGTTGAAAATGCTGTTAAAATCATATAAAAACCGTATATAGGGAGGGACCTGCAATTTTCAGACAATTTCGAACTGCAAATAATAAATTTGAATCAGTTCCAGTGAATAACGTAGTTAAAATCATTAAAATACCGAATAAAGGGTGGTACTCTTATATGGGGGCTATACGAAGGCTTGGACCTGCATAGGCAATTTTCTGTCACAGGTTGTAGTATCCGGTGAATAATATCGTAAAAATCATAAAAATACAAAATATAGAGAGGCACCGTTATATAAGGGCTATATCAATACGTGGACTTATGCAGGGCGAGATAAAAACACAGCAACAAAGACAAAGGTTATAACTCTTACATTCTTTTTTAAATTTTATTGAATGAAGCAAAAAATGTCGAAAATAGCACGAATTATGGCTTTCAAACGGCCAATGAAACTGTCACAAGCTGCCTGAGTGTTGTTCTGCGGTATTTGGCCCATTCCCGGCAAAGCGCTTTCTTGAGGTAATCGACACTTTGGTATTTTATAGTGCCAACCTTGCTTCCCGAAAGACTCCAGATATAATGGTCTAACGGATTGGTATCCGGATATTTTGGTGGCCAGTGTGCGCTGGAAATGAAGCGAGGAACCTCATTTTGTAACCATTCTTGGGTGGCGCGTGCTGAGTCCTGTTGGAATGTCCAAGGTCTGCGGCCAAAATGTTTGCGTGCCCAAGGCTTCCGCGATAATATTCGGAATTTATTATGTTGCCACGGTCTATTAATACGAGCGGAGAGCGACCATTAGCTGTTATGGCGGCCTACACCATCACCATGGCCGGCGCTTGAGTTCTGGTGGCCAACCGTAGGTGCAGATTTTCAGCTGATCTCTTTGGCAAGTAAACACGATCATTTTGTTTGTTTACAAACTGTTGGACAACGAATGTTTTCTCATCGGAGAAAACCAAATTCGGCAGTCACCACTTTTGGCCAAGCGAAGTAACTGTTTAGCTCTTTTGAGTCTATTTTCTTTCTGTTGCGGTGTAAGTTCTTGCACTTTTTGGAATTTCAATGGATTTACTCCGAGCTCATTTTTCAATTTTTGCCGAATGGAATATTGCGAAATGTTCAGCACACAAACCATTTTTCGGCCACGGTGACGCGGGTTTCGATCAAGTCGCTTCTTTACTTTTCGAACCATTTCTGGTGATGTTGCTGCTTTCTTCCGTCCGTTTCCTTGACATCGGGCTACACTACCAGTATCACTGTAATGAGCGATGGTACGAGACACAAAAGATTTATGCACATTTAAATGCTGGAGTGCTCTAACGATAGCCACTTGTGGTTTTTCAGCCAAATATAAAGAAATCACACTATCACGATTGAATTCCATCACAAATAACTTTTTTTTCTAGAAAATTGTCACCAAAATGCTTTTGTACGCTTATAAACAATATAATGAGCTGTTATTGTAATAATTTTAACAGCTGTCGGACGAGTGGCTTAGAAATGGCAGCAGTCATTCGTAATCTGTGGGCTTCCACAAACCAGAATTGGAACATTAGAGCAAGTGTGTATTTTTACAAATATTTTTAATTTCCTTATCTAAATATTACGTATGTGTCAAGTTTGGAAGAAAAACGTTTGATTCTTTTTATTGCAAAAATGATGAACTTTTGTCAGGAGGTACGATAAAGTGTGGGGCGATATATTCGATTTAGACACCTGTTCTAATAAATACCAAATAATTGGAATGTGCTAAGTGTGAGGAAATTCGCATATCTTGAGAGTATTAAACATGATTATCGAGGAATTACAACGCTAATATATGACAACGTTAATATACCCTCCATAGAGAGGTACAGGGTATATAAATATCATATAAAGAGCCCAAAAGTAGCCTACAATGTCTTTTGATGAAGGCTTCGATAGACCAAATGTATTTAGAGCTGCAAAAAATAATTTATATTTTTAAGTTTATTTACAATGCAATTTAAAATAAAGCAACAAGTTCTTATAATCAATATTTCAAGTATTTCAATGGGGGTACATTATCATATAGATAACTTAAATTGAAAATAGTTTCCGCAAGTGAAACTATAAATTCCACTTCATGTTATAGTAACTTTGTTAGTATATTTTAAACTTTTCTAGTTTTGAGTTATTTTATGTCAATAAATAAAAATATGTCAAAAATCATTTTAACTCTCCTGCTGCTAGGAGTCGCATTAAATTCTTCTAATGGTGATGTCCTAAACGATCTCATGCATTTGGATCAAATCGATTTGAGTGGTTTTGAAATATTGGGAATACTTTTGAAACCCGATGAGCCAATTGAATTAAAAGTGGGCGAAATTATTTTAAATCGTTTGTTGCACAACATGAGTAAACGTGGCGATGATCTTCATATGGAGTGAGTAGTTGGAGATTGAGACAAAAATTGAAAAAATATTATATATATTACTTAAAATATTACAGAGTGGATTCAGCCTCTTCATTTAATTTGGATCAGGTTATCACAATCGATGCCCAATTATCATCAAATTCTGAAGATTCAAGTTCTGTTGAACAAAAATCGCAAAAGTGTAAAGTAACAATTACTCTGCATTTGTTGGCTAAAACACGGATGTGTCATTCGCTTGTGAAGGTCAACCAACCATTGAGAAACAATTCGAGTGGAACAAATAAGCGTGGCAAATATTTTTTGGAAAGGAGAAAATACAAAAAAAAAAAAAAAAAAAACATTTAAGAAATTCCAGTTTAATTGTTTACTTCTTTTATTTGAAAACTAGTTAAAACAAGAAGCGGTCAATCATGACTCTATGCCTCTTTTTATTTTTACACAATATTCAAATTCAGTTGTAACAAAAATGCATATTACAATTTTTATATGGAGAAAATGTACTCATTTTATGACAAAATACAATTTTAAAGATATAGAACATGATAAAAAAAAATAAAATAAAATAAAATAAAAAATAGTATAAATAAGTAAAAAAATAAACAATTGAACCTATTATGACCAACTAATTCCAATTTTGGACAAATCCATGAAAAAATGTGACAAAAACCATCAAAATACCGAATATCGGGAGATACCGTTATATGGGGGCTATACCAAAACGTGGACCTATACATGCAATGTTTCGCCACACATACTAGGACCCATTATGACCTACATATACCAATTCTCAGACAAATCCGTGAAAAATGTGGTAAAAATCATTAAAATACCGAATATCGGGAAGTACCGCTATATGGGGGCTATACCAAAACGTGGACTTATACATGCAATGTTTCGCAACCGGAGCTATAACCAATTATGACCTACAAATACCAATTTTTAGACAAATCTATGAAAAAATGCGGCAAAAATCATCAAAATACCGAATATCGGAAGGTACCGTTATATGGGGGCTATACCAAAACGTCGACCTATACATGCAATGTTTCGCCACACATACTAGGACCCATTATGACCTACATATACCAATTCTCAGACAAATCCGTGAAAAATGTGGCAAAATCATCAAAATACCGAATATCGGGAGGTACCGTTATATGGGGGCTATACCAAAACGTCGACCTATACGTGCAATGTTTCACCACCGGAGGTAGAAACCACTATGACCCACAAATACCAATTTGTAGACAAATCCATGAAAAAATGCGGCAAAAATCATCAAAATACCGAATATCGGAAGGTACCGTTATATGGGACTATATCAAACGTGGACCGATATATGTAATTTTCAATACCAACCATCCTAGACACAATACAAATTATTCTGCAAAATTTTCATGCTCTACGTTAAATAATGTGGCCTGTATCGTGATTTCGTGATTTCATTCTAAAGCAAGTACATAAAATTAGTGAAAATCGATTCAGATATAGCTATGGCTCCCATGTATATGTTTCATCTGATTTCCATCCGATTTGGTGTTTAAGTCCCCCACATTCGTAATATGCATTTGACAGCAATGAAATTTGGTACCAGTTATCATGTATAGCCGAGAAACACCTCTGCCAATTTTATTAATATATCTTCAACCGATTTCGGGTTAATTGTGGAACAAATGGCCAATATCAGTACAAAAATCCTGAATTTTGGTACATCTGCCCGAATTTAGTCTAGAAGCAAGTACATTAAATTTGGTGAAAATCGGTTTAGATATAGCTATAGCACCCATAAATATGTTTCATCTGATTTCCATCCGATTTCGTGTTCAAGTCCCTTAAATTCGTAATATGCATTCGACAACAATAATATTTGGTACCAGATATCTTATAAAGCTCGGAAATAACTTTGTCAACGTTTATCGAGAACGGCTTAGATGTGGACATAGGTCCAAAATATATCTTCAACCGATTTCGGGTTAATTGTGCAACAAATGGCCAAAATCAGTCCAAAAATCCTGAATTTTGGTACATCCGACCGAATTAAGTCTAGAAGCAAGTACATTAAATTTGGTGAAAATCGGTTCAGATATAGCTATAGCTCCCATATATATGTTTCATCCGATTGGGTTTTAAAGACACTCAAATTCGTATATGCATTCGACAACAATGATATTTGGTACCAGAGATCGGAAATACCTTTGCTAAATTTTATCGATATATCGATTTAGATATAGCTCCTATAGATATCCTTAACCCGATTTCAGGTTATTGTGAAATAATGGCAAATATCAGCCCAAAAGGAGTGAATTTTGGAACGTACGTTTCCTTTGCGCAACTCGGCGCCGAAATATATTTGTATACCCTCCACCATACTATGGAGGATATATTAACTTTGTCATTCCGTTTGTACTCCTCCAAATACAAAAAAGTATATATATTCTTGATCAGCGTAAAATTCTAAATCGATTTGGCTATGTCCGTCTGTCGTCATTTGTAATCTTTCGAAGGAATTGAGATAGAAGGCTACAATTTTGCACACCATGTTTATTTTGCCAGTATTTTGATGAATTTAGCGACATTTATCACAGGAATTGTTTCAAATTTGGTATTGGAAGTTGGTTATGGATACTAAAGCCTATGGCAGAAAGTGGTCTGTGCAGGTTCACGTCTTCGTATAGCCCCATATAACGGTACCCCCCCCGATATTCGGTATTTTGATGATTTTAGCGACATTATTCACCGGAATTGTTTCAAATTACGTATTTAGAGTTCGTAATGGATACTACAGCCTATGACAGAAAGTTGTCTATGCAGGTCTAGGACTTCGTATAGACTCCCTATATTTCGGTAATTGATGATTTTAAGAACAATACTCACCGAAATTGTTTGAGATGTCGTATTGAAGTTCGTAATGCATGCTAAAGGCTGTAACAGAAAATTGTCATGCAAGTCCAGGTCTTCGCACAGCTTCGATATAACGGTACCTCCCGATATACGGTATATAGACCCCAATATAACGGCTATATTCGGTATTTTTAGGATTTTAAGAGAATTTTTAGCGGATTTTATTTTTTGAAAATTTCCAAATGCGTTCAATGGTGGAGGGCAGTCAAGTTCGGCCTGCTTTTTTAAAATGTTTTTGATATAATCCTCCTCCAGAGTGATGTCATGCACTCTATAGGTTCACTATAACTGCTCTAAAGCCAATGTTGATAGGTGGTATGATCTTCTTGAAATAAATTATTTTATTACGGGAGCTCTACTAAATATGCATAGTGGTGTTGGGTCCGCCCAACTTTTGACTTTTCCTGTGCTGTTTTTTTCTCGACTCTTGTTTATAACTCAAAAAATTAAATTACTTATCAACTAATTCCATGGATATTTATGATAATTCTGACAGGTAGGTATCTTTTCTTACAATTTCGTAAACTTTTTCTACCTCGTATTTATTGTTCACGTCCATACGTCAGTCTGCTCGATCGTCGTTGTCCTATCGTTCAAACAACTTTCGTACTTTACCTTTCGAGAGTCAAGTCGCTATTATCTACTTCTTTGAATTTATGATTACAGTAAGATTCAGATCTCTGGGAGATAATTAATAAATTATGTTTACTCAAATTTATCATTAACATTATGGAAATATCCATCAATCCCTAATATACCGAAATAATCTCGCGAGCATTCTCTCTCTACATTCAAATATGTGGGACAAAGTAATAAGATAATGTTATCAGCATCACTATCAACGAGTCCCCTCAAAATAAGAATATTAGAAATATAATCAATAGAATAAATTACAAAAACATAATGGGAAGAAGAAAACAGATTAAATCAATATATGTATAAGTATGTACGTATATGTGTGGGTGTGTATATGTTACTGCTTGTGGAGATAGCGAACAATGTAATGAATTTAGTATAAATAGTCCGGCGTGACCAATGTCAGCTACAGTCATCGTTTAGTTATTGAATAGCATACACAACAAATAGAATCTCAAAACAAAATCGGGAAAATGATGAAATTTTTAGTTGTTGCATTCTTTGCTGTTTTGGCCATTGCCAAGGCCAATGATTCTGTGCTGGTTGTGTGACACCGTGACCGACGACAAAGGTCTTGAAGGGCCACCAATACCCTAAACAATTCACTGAAAAAATTGGCTGCCGGTGAAGGACCACATTACAAGTAAGTTGTTTAAGCAATCCGATCGTTATTGTTTTGACTTATTGAACTAATTTATTTTACAGACTTGTCCAAATCACTCTGCTACCTCTCAGTCATCCGTGGTCATTTGTTCAGAATAAATGCTGATTTGAGGATGAGAATGGCCACACCAAGACCTGTGATATTAAAATTATTGAATTCACCGAGTGAATATTACCTTCAACTGCCCCGAAGAACAAGAGGTTCTAGAACTCATAGCTATTAAGATGTTTGCAGTATGTTTTGAAAAAATAAAATTTTGGAAAAAATAGAAATGTTCTTGTTTATTTTACCCTCACCATGATATGGAGTATGTTAAGTTCCTTACATCGAAATAATCATGTCATCTAATAATCATCTTGTCAGTATGAAATATATGCTGATTTAGTCTTCGTTGTCCTATCGTCCAAACGACTTGTGGTAGGAAGCTAAGATTTCGCTTTCTTGTATCTGCAGACAGGTCAGATTTTAAATGAGATCTACAGAGTGAGAAGAAAAAACTGCAACCAACTTCAGACTGCTGCTGCTAAGCCACTCGTCAGAGAATGTTATTATTCCAGTTGGCCGTTTGAAGGCATAATTCGTTGCCAAAGGTGACTAATTCGAATATATCTAACTTATTCTAAAATTTGATGCTATTTCCGACATTTTAGCTTTCATTCAATAAATTAAGAAAAAGTAAAAATTATGGCGTTTGAATTTGTTTTGCGTTTTTTATCTACCCTGTGGGGTATAAAACCTTTATGTCCAAGAGACACGCCTTGGCTATATCGAATATATACATTTTCTGGTTGCCCATTGCGGAACACATTTATATTACCCCTTCAACCACCAGTGACTATAAAATCGAAATATAAATTTTTCTGCTCCATTCGTTTCACCCAAAACCAAATTGTAAAGTTCTTACCTCAGTACCCATTTCCAAAACCTCTTCCATACGTCTACCCTACTTGCCGAATGTCAATATTTACTTCTCTCCTTCACATAGTACCAAATGTTA